ACCTGAAATCGTGACAATTGTTGTGGAAAATGAAAGCTATATGTTCTCACAATCTACTGGCATTTAATTTTGTCTCCTGCTTTGCCTAGTTTCGAGTTACAACTTGTTTTCATAGGCGCTTCTGTCACAATTGATTGGTGTCGTTAGGCCCTATTTGTATAATGACTGATCCAAATTGATCCCATTTCTGTGTTTTTACCTCGATATTTAATCATGTCATGTAAAAATCTGTTTGTATTCTCAAAACAGTGTCGGCCCATAAGTTTTCACATGCAATACAGCAATTAATACTCCCTTGTTGTAACCCGTGTTAGGTGGTATAAACCTACACATGTTATTTGTCATCATTCACTTGATGGTCAGTTAATGAATTTATAACAGGTATAATTAGTGGTAACACACTTAGATTACCGACAAAGGTTCCCATTTGGCATTTCTTGTGTCTGGAGTAAATATTCAACATTATAAACATCGATCAAAGGATTAACCGATAACACGCTGATTGATTAATTACTTTTATCTTACATAGCGGATTTGTCAAAGGTAGTGTTTATGTATGTAGATTTACTAATCTATACTGAATACACTCTGCCGTGTCGGTGTCTGCGTAAAACAACGTCCTTCTTTCAAAGGATTAACCGGCAATACATTGATTGATTGCCCATTATTGGCTAACTAAATTACTGTTTTTAATGAAAGGCGGACATTATGCAATTAGTTGCCAGGTGTGCTATCTTGGGTGACCAATGAGACTATACACCAATACCTGAAAAGATTTATCACTTTTTCAGTATATTAAACTGTTAAAAGACACATCATTTGGAACAGTTTTGTGGATATTGATGGATACATTCCTCAAACAAGGTAATGGCCTGATATTGTTCCTATAACTTTAATCTGTTTTAATTTTAATATTTGCATTTTGTTTTTATTCATTTGTCGTAGCATTCAACAGAATCATTGTTTTCGCCGTGAAGTGTAATGAGACAGACAACATACACTAGGGTGTGTGTGCGAATTATGATTCACATTGGCAAACTATAAAATGTCTAGATATTACAGTTCTGTTATAAATTCACTATAAGTATCAGCAGATCGTCAGCTTTTTATTTAGTTTCAAAATGCATAAAAGTATGATAATAAACTAATTAGGATTATAAGACCAAATATAAAAGACGCACATTGACTAGTATCTACATACTGGTGAGTGGACATTAACCATGTGAATGTAGCAAGAAATTTATCGCGCAGTATTGTGACTTCGACCCCCACCTCGGCTTCCGTGGAAGAAATCGTTATGTTATAAGTTGTGTCATGCAAAATCCTTTTGGTTATGATTCCAATACATATTTAACTACGAGTAGAAGGTAGTTTTGATTTTTCTAACTTGATGAAAACAAACTATAATCTCATTAATTCTAACAGACTTATCGATTTTTCAAAATGAAAAGCCTGTCGGGAACATCCGCCAGTCTGTGGATAAATGCTATTTAGGTTTGTTTTCACGAGTTACAAAATCAAAACTACTTTCTACTGGTAGTAAAATATGTATTTGATTGATGGCCAATAGGATTTTGCATGACATAGCGTATAACATATCAATTTCTCCTGGCAGCGAGGTGTGGTGTCAACATAATACTACTTACAATATTATTGTTGCTTCGACCACAACCTCACTTCCGAGGAAGAAATCGTTATGTTACAAGTTGTGTTATGGAAAATCTTTATGGTCATCAATCATATACATATTTTACTATAACTAGTAAATAGTTTTGATTCTTTAACTTCCGTGAAGCGATCTGAACACAAGTAAGATATCGTTTCAGGCTTCCACAACGCGGCTAAACCGCTCACAAACATAACCCATTTAGCTTACGAACTGCGGGGTCCTGTGGAAATCTGTGCATGGTGACACCATCACCCGACCCCTAGGAGCAATTGGCGACAAAGCAGCGATTCGGCATGTCGTCGTTTATGTCGAGAAATCATCAAAATGATGAGCGTGCTACACACTTTCTATACAACTAACTGAAAATCGTTCCTCATATGACGTCACTGCAGTGCTCTGGCGACAGAGTTACGTAACCTGTCTGTGGTTTTAGTTGGTAGAGAGGGAAGCAGGCGACTTTTGGCCACTTTTAATCGCTCGGTATTAATTAACCACAAGTTTTTAAAGAATAAATTTGGTGTTCCGCATAAGACTAACCACAAATCTTTCATATGTAATGGTTAAAAGAGTAACAAAAAACAAAGTTTAGTGGTTCTTTAAATTAATCGTAATTATCTTTAGAAAGTATTAAATTTGGCATCTTAGAAAAGAAATACACTTCGCCCTACCACCATGTATAGTGTAATAAAACACACTTTCGCCCTGAACTATATATAACGTTAAAGCACTTTCGGACGCAAGCGTCCTCGTGCTTTAACTATAATAGTTCAGGGCAAAAGTGTGTTTTATTACACTATACATGATGGTAGAGCGAAGTGTATTTCTTAATTAACACACATTGAAAATTGTGCAGTGGTTGAAGGAAGGCTGAGTTGAAAGTACTACATCCAATAATGCCCAGCCAGTGGAGACTTCTGGAGGGTGGGAGTTGTCATACCAATTACTGGATAACGCTTTTACTGCTGCTGAGAGATCCTAAAAGATAGGGACTTTTCTAACATTTGGCCTAGGACTATTCTAGCTTTCTTAGGCAGGACACCAACAAATTGTCAGTCTTATCACTTGTGTACCTTGCAACACATTCATGAAGCGTTAATGTTCTGAATGAAACTGTGTGGCTCAAAATTTGTTCAAGTGTTGATGTGTCTGGGTTCAGATCACTGGACCAATTATTATATCTCCATAGAATGTGATTTGAATTCACATGAGAATGTAAGTTTTTGTTCACATAAGAAACTGTTGCCACCAGTGCTTCAATCCACAGACATTTGAATGCTTGTGTGATTATAGGTCCTGGCAAATCTGACACATACATCTTTAAATATAATTCAAGTAAAATCATAACCAGTCGGAACTTAGAATAGAAACCTTCAATACCACTCATAGCACACAGAAAAAGATAAAATAGCATTATTGCCCATCCCAATATGTGATCACTTAATCTTGAAATTAATATGCTTTCAGCAAAAAATGAAGCTATGGGTGTGAAAAGAGTATTTAGAATTACATCTTAGCATTCATAAACAGGACGTTATTATTCACAGAATAACAGTGTCATGTTTTTAATACATTTCATGTGACATCTAACACCTTCATTATGTGTAACATACAGCAAACCCGAGTTGTTGGGAAATTTGTAGGATAACTGCAGAAGGGCTTCATAACCTACTTGTGGAACTGTTTTGTTTATCATCCATCCGTTCATCTGTGCAGTTTGTTTTTAATCAATAACTGGATAACGGTCTAAAGGAGAGGTGCAGTGCTAATTTTCGTTTTGGTATTTTAATTTTGTTAAGAATTGCTGGAACTTATGAAAAATTAACTATAAAAAAATTAACTATGAAAATTTCGATCAATGTATAGCATGAAAAGTATTTGTCAAAATGATTTTGTATTTGGAGAACAGCTTCTTTGTCTGAAGTAGAGGAGCACTGCAAAGTTTGGTTCCGATTATTTACTTTTTCAATGAGCTACGTCAGTTTACATATTTTGAACAGTAAAAAATACCAAGGGAATTTTTGTTCAACCAGTAACTTGAAAACTATTGGTTTGATTGTGTTTCCAAATATAGGGACCTCCTTCTTTGTCTAAAGGAGAGGTGGAGTGCAAATTTTGATTTTGATATTTTTGAAGAATTACAGGAATTTGTAAAAAATAGAATTACACATTTTCGTTCCACCAATAACTTGAAAAGGGGTCCAAATGATTTCTCTAAAATAGGGATGCAGTGCAAAGTGTGGTTCCAACTTCTGAATTTTTGAAAGTGTTACATCAATTTACATATTTTGAACTTTATAAAATACCAATGCATTTTTGTTCAACCGGTAACTTGAAAACTATTGGTTGGATGTTTTCAAATTTGGGGATCACCCTCCACATCTACAGGAGAGATGCAGTGCAAAATCATAGTTTTAATTATATTTTTTTAGAATTATCACAAATTACATCTCTTGAGCTTGGGAAAATGTCCCACATCAAATTTGTTCAACCAATAACTTTACAGTCATTTAATGGATGGTGTTTTTCAGATCTATTGTGTATAATTTGTTGTTTATTTCTTTAATACCAAACAGTTTCACTCAAAATTGAATATGTATGTGCTAGACATAGTAAAAAGAGTATAAGCCTCTGTGAAAAACTATAATACTGTGCCAGGAATTAGAACTTACCATTACACCTGTCAGCATCTTTGTGGTGGTAAAACCAAATTGTATTCTGTATTCATACACTAACAACTAAATCCTTGTCAAAGTGAAAAATATCTGATAAATGCAAACCCAGAAGATTTTAGGCATCACAAAACCTTGGTTAGCACTTGGCACTGTCTGTTTTTCATTCTTATATTTGCAATTAATTTTACATCCTCAGATTGAAAATATAATATTCAACATCCCTGAGTAACTTTATAATCAGAGGTGTACATAGTACCACGTGAATGGACAACATTTACTTTTCGGAAAACTGTGGTCAGAAAAATATCTTGGTATTTAATGCTGAAGGCTACCCATAATTTGAGGCATTCAAACTTTAGGTCACTGAAGAGAGTGTCTTCAGCATTGCTTGACTGTGTTGCTGGTAGAGACACAAAGGGAAAGGTTTTACAGTGAATGTTGGCAGTTAAGTTTCAACCACAAGCTAATGTTACAGTTTCATCAAATACAAACACTTTTACATTGATTACTAAAAAATCTGTTCAGCCTAGTGTAATAAACAATAGCATCACAAATTGAATTCAGTTGCTAAGGTAAGGTAAATTGATCAATGACTGGATTACATTATTCTATACATTTGATGGATGAGAGGATCATTCATTCATTGATTTCCTTTATAGGACGAACAAGAAGAACTGCAACATATAATTAACACAGAGATTGGCAAGTACCACAAGAAGAGGGTGCACGTAGCTAATCAAATCACACACACTGTCACAGAGGTGAGTATATCATAAACCACTAAGCCAACTGGCATATCATCCTTGGTCATTCGTATAAACTTGGAACTATCAAAATGGGTAGGCAGTTCTTTCTACCAGCATTCACAAATGCATAGATTTGCCCCCCCCAAGCTTGAATAAAAATATAAAAATGTATATTCAACAATGCAATAAAGTGATACCTATGACTATATACTGAGCATCCCAGAAGATGAGCTAGTCTGTCTCACAGTCCCTGAACCACATTATTTTCCCTACTGCCTAGCCCTCTCTGCAGTGCTAAAGCCCTAAATGAAGCAAGTCTAGATTTCCTCAGGTTCTGAATCTGATCTCCCTGGGGCTCCTTTTCAATTTCACTGGGTTTATTTGTTACAATCAAAATCATATATATTCAGAGACTAAGTGTTAGTCTATAGATGAGCCAGTGTCTTGCAGCTATGTGTTTTCTTTGATATGTCTCTGTGAGAAGGTTTCCTTGTGATGTCCATGGGAGACATTTTACAGTGTTTTGACTAATTAAAGTGTTGAGGCTTCCTAATTAACCTTTATTGATTCATGATGAAGCAGCACAGGATGTTTCTTGTATTTAGAAGCTTATATTGGCGATTGGTGATTGGACTGACTCAACATGTTTTGATAAACGTGAAAGCTCTTCCAGCACTGTTAAAGTTACAAATGTAACTCACTTTCATAGTCATAACTATATCAATAACAATTCTTAAGAATACGTCCCTTTCAGGATTGCCTTATTTCCTGAAACTTTTATCTGATCTTCAGGTTGAACTTGAATAAAACTTTTAAACATTCATAAGTTGTATTATTTTACTTCCTAGTGGTCTTCCACAGTGCTCTCTGAAGGAGTGTCTCCACTGGCAGGCAGGGGAAACACACATTCACACATGCTTACTTCCCTGCAAAATGTTCTAAATTTCCCAGGTATTTCCCTATTTTCCTAGCTTTTGAGAGATACATGATGGCAAAAAAGGAATTCGCCAGTGACACTGAGCAGAGGTGTTGGACGGACAGAGGCCCTGGTGGACTCTGGGGAGCTTGGCTTCCTCCCTGTCTGAACAGTTTGAGGTTTGTGACAGAAGAGAGTCAATTTAGGGAACTTAAAGATCAATAAGACCAATTGGAAGCCAAAGTAGAGACAGAGAGAAGTCAGGGCCTTTCCCAGCTAAACAACCTCATCATGAAAGGAAGTCTAGGCCTCAGCCGTAAGTTATGGTTACCTCAGGTGGGCTGTACCTTGGTGAACCAGAGTGAATGGCGGATAGATCACCTGAAGACAGCATTTTGCTGGGTCACCATGACTTAGAGCACACCTCTCTGAACACCTCAAGTCTAAGCCATGGTCGGAGCAGCAGCCAGCAGTACATCAGCCGCCTTGGTCACCACAACTTAGATGCAGCAGCCCGAACTCCACTACCTTTGACACCCATCACTATTGAGAAGCAACCAACACAAGTCATGGTGTTTCATCCCTTTGTCTTGGTGATTTCACCAGCAGCACCAGTCACACAGACCAGCCAGGCCCTGGTTAACTGTACGGTGCCCTCCAGCAGCAAGGTCCATGGAGAGTTCAACGACCAGCCTACCAGAACTGTTAGCCTGACTGTTCAGATCGCACCAGTCAGGGAGATAGATACCTGCATGGGCCACATGGGATCTTCAGGCTTCACGGGCTACCAGCACACACAAGGAGCCCACCGTTACAACCAGATGCACGGACTGCATAGGCAAGACGAGTAGCAGGGGCTCTAGTGGCTCCTACCATAGAGGGTCTTTCCACTAACCTACTGGATATGGCTATTTCATCCTATGACATGCCAGATCAGGGTGTTTTGCGAGGGCCTAAACTTGGGATGACTGGTACTCTTCCCTAATGCTATCTCGCCTCTACTGTTTCAGGAGGGTTAGGCGGCTGACTTTGTGTGCTGGTGATTAGGTGCCTGGGGGTGTGGGTTCAAATCCCGGATGGGACTCTACCCAACAAAAGTACAAGAATCTGTACTTTACTAAGAAAGTGAAATCCCAAATATAACACATGTTACATGTATCAGGAGGAGTTTGTGAGAGAGGTTCATCACCCAGATTCTCCACTATTCAAGACTAGACAAAAGCATAAGGTACCTTAATCGTCTTTCCAAAATAGGATCGATCTTAAAGGACTTGAATCACAGCATTAGCTTTAAAAGTATCCAGACCGTCTACTCAGTTCTACACTACAGACAAAGACTCTAATGTGACAGATAAAACTGAGTTCTAATCTTCATCGCCCTCATGAGACAAAGGGTTCCAGGGATTTGCTGGAACATATCCCGCTGTTAGAGAACCATCTATTTAACTTCAGGTGTGAGAAAGCACTAGGGGTGCTCAAGCTGGAAGAGGACATGAAAATTCACAGGGTCATCTCCTCAGTGTCCTTCTCGCACTTGAGACTGCAGCAAGGGAAGTCCTTTTGTCAAGGGCCTGTTCAGGAACAAAGCACTCAAGGCCCACAGAAAGAGTTTGGAGGAGTTAGTCTCAGATACCTCCACCAAGTCTATGCTGCAGACTAGAGGATATAAGAAGCCCTTCCTGGCTAGGAAGTTTGGCAAGTCACTCCCAAATCTAATTGACACCCCAGACAATCACTGCAACAGCAATCACTGCATATCGGAGACAAATACCAGGCTTTCCAATGAAGGTATTCCAGGGTCCAGACAGCGGCCATGTATCTATTTACGAAAAAATTGGAAGATCATAACGGAGGACCAATGGGTCTTAAGGTCATCAAAGAGGGATACTTGAGAGAAGTTGATGATCGTACCTCACAACACAGTGTATCGATCGCCCACTGTTGGATAGTTCTCATGATTTTATCAGTTTGTGAAGAAACTATTAGTAGTGGTAATGCATAATACATATTAAAACACACTTTTTCTAGTCCATGTAGAAGGGGTGCCTGGGTTTGGCCATACAAACTGTGTTGGCTGCTTCTGTCTTCTCGTCGGCCGGCGTGTTGCTCGGTGTGCACATCATGTGGACGACGTCAGAGCTATCTCACTAGGAAATGGGCTTGGTATCTATTTGCATATCTTCTTCTGTATTCCATATATAGTCGAAGTTAGAAGTACATCGGCAAATATACAAACATGCAAGGAATGCTGCTACTATGCAAATAAGGAAATCCAAGTCTTGACTACTGTCATTTGAAGATAAATGAGTGTACAAGTGATGCCAATGCCCTGTATGACTTTGTCTTTTCGTTGATGGGTAAGAAAGTAGGTACAGTTCTGCCGGATATAGATGATGACAAGGAGCTGGCAAATTTGTTCAACACTTATTTTTTGGATAAGATTGAAAATATCCGCACCTACCTTGCATCTGAGAACTCTAATGAAGCACCAAACTACACTCTACCTCGTTTTAAAGGTGATGTCTTAAACTGCTTTCGGGTATTTTCAGACTAGGAGATATGCAAAATTATCTCTGAAAGCAAACCAACAACTTGCGATCGTGATCCCATTCCTACCAAGATTCTTTTAAAGCATATTGACGTTTTGATTCCGGTTATCACAAGAATCGTCAATGAAAGTCTGAGTTCAGGATCTGTCCCTGCCACCATGAAGCAAGCCATTGTCAAGCCCCTCATAAAGAAGCATGACTTCAATTGAATTCAAAAACTACAGACCGGTGTCTAACTTGACATTTATATCGAAAGTCCTGGAACGTTAAAGTCCGTCTGTCTGCACATCTATGTCAGTTTGACCTGTTGGACAAATTACAGTCTGCATACAGAAAGGGTCATAGCTGTGAAACTGCACTACTCAGCGTTCTCAATGATCTATAAGTTGCTGTTGATAATATATCTTTATATTTTTGCCTTAAATTCCCAGCATAATTTATTTATTAATATATTTTTATGCACTTTAGAACATCATTAAAAAGTACATGATCTGTTTTTCGTGAATTTATAAAATGCAATTTATATATTGAAGTGAGTCATATTTCACATATAATTGACCCAAGTGAGACTAAATGTCTGTCACACATCGAAGAACTAAATGAAGTGGAACGATTCTGTTGAATGCTACAACAAATGACTGAAAACAAAATACACCTATACAAATTAATACCGACTAAAGTTTCGGCTATAAGATCAGGCAATTACCTTGTTCCAGGAATGTATCCATCAATATCAACACAAAGGAATGATATCCCATCGATCAGAAATCTAATATTGAAAAATTGTATATAATTTTACAACTCGTGAAAGTTTCTCAACTGGCCTTGTGACTTTGTTTCAGGGTTTTCACATTTGTGTATAGTCAAAATGGTCACCCACTGGTCAAGATAGCACACCTGACAACTATTTACATGAAGTCCATCATTCTTTAAAAAGATAATTTAGGGACCGTTCATAATTTATGGCTAGGGGGGTGATGATGATTTTAAGGGGGGTCAGCAATTTTGTTCTGGGGAGCTGGGTCAGCAATTTTGTACATAAAAATATGTTTAAAATTATGCTTAGAAATTATGCGAAGGTGAGGTCATTGTTTTGTACATGATATGGAGGGGGTGTCACTTATTTTGTATATACATTTTAGGGGGAGATCATTCATAATTGTACATGCCTCTCCAAAAAAATCATCATCACCCCCAGCCATAAATTATGAACGGTCCCTTAGTTCGTCAGTAATTAGCAATCAATCAAATGTATTGTCGGTTAATCCTTTAAAGAGAGGACATTGTTTTCACACAGAATATGAATACACTTTACAACAATATAGTGAGTGAGTTGGGTTTAACACCGCTTTTAGCAATATTCCAGCAATATCATGGCAGGGGACAACAGAAATGGGCTTCACACATAGTACCCATGTGGGGAATTCAACCCGGGCCTTCAGCGGGACGAGAGAACACTTTAACCACTAGGCTACCCCACTGCCCAAAACCGAATATATTCAGTATATGTTATTAAATCTACATACATAAACACTGCCTCTTAACAAATCCGCTAGTCAAGAAAAAAAGTAATTAACGAATCAACATGTTATGGGTTAATCCTTTGATCAATATGTGCTTTTTTAATCAGTTGAAAATTGCTGTGCTTTCATGTGCATATTACATAAATAGAGATTATTACACGAGCAAGTGTGTCATATGACTTATACAAAAGGAGTGTGAAATTTTGTATTGCCCGAGTGAGAGCGAGGTCAATACATAATTTTGCACAAGTTTCGTATAAGTGATATGACATACTTGCTCGAGTGTAATAATGTCTTAATTATCCATTTTTTTCACATACATTTGTGCAGTAAAACACAGTAAGCAAATGTGACTGCCCTCATCATTGATGTCACGTTCAATTGTTTAATGACATCACGGATGGCCAAATACAGAAACAATGGTTGCTTGGCACATTATACCACCAAATATGGTTTTCATGCAATTTTAATTTCCTAAAAAACCTAGTGGTCGATGATGTTTTGATGATACAAAAGGAACAGCATTGTTGCATAAGCAGTACATATAAGCATTTGCTGTGTTAAAAGTTAAGCACTGTATATACATATTTACCTTTGCCAATCACCTCTCACCGCCAGTTAACTGTTGGCTTCCCTTGTTTAGCCTCAATCTTTGTTCTATTATTCCTTGTTCCTACAGGTACATATATATGCTCTCTGCCTCATATCATTCATTCACCTGATGAAGGAGTAAAGATATACTCCCAAATGTTGTGATCTTCATAATAAAGATGTTGAGATCTATAAAACTTTCTTACTTATATTTACCTATGTGGATTTTTCTTGCAAAGTGGGGTTGATTTAGTTCATGGATTCAAATAAATCAAATGTGTTTTAATATATTATAGGTCAATTCACATATAATAACATGACATGATTAAATAAAATAAAAATTACAGATATGGGATCCAACAAGATCACCCATCATACCATCCATGCATAATAAATCCAAAAATACTTCCACTGCTGGGATACTTTATTAAAATCAGGCTAGAACCACCAGGGATTTCCAAATGACAGCATGTTATTGGCACACACCATTATTGAGCATAAATAAATCGCTCTGGATAGAGCCCCATTATATAATAGCAATACGGGTGTCCTCCCATTGCGAGAACTCCCATTTGCGAGACACATTAATTAATGGTTCAGTGCACACAAGTGGTGCTTCCCAATCCCTACGATGAAAGTGGGAACAGCCCTGTTGCTGAAGAGTACCCGCAGGAGGCATAGTTCATTAATGAGACACAGAAGACATTGTTCATTGAAGAGCATTTATTGATTTCAATAAAGAACAAGTTAAATACTGAAATACTGAAAAAGATTATCATTATATTTACACAGAAGAAATAGTTCATTAAATACTTCATTATCATTTTTTATTCACACATTTTGATGATTTGTGTTATTATGATGTTTGTGTGTCATTATAAATAACTTTTTTTACATGGGTCCATATTTGGAAATTTTGACACTTTTCATATTTTCAGCAGTTTGCCGACTGCATCAAGATACTGCATGTGATTTTTCGTTCCATCTGCAAGTTGATCTTTGAGTCTATATAGTCGATTGTCTGGGGCCGAATGTGTCATGATGGTTCCATATGGGCAAGGGAAAGCGAGCGTCGTCGTCCACCCAGGTTGTAGTGATGTAGTCGTTGAATGTCTGTGTAGGTACAAGTCTGCCGCTGCTTGTTCTTGTAATACAGGTATTGGGAAAGAGCAGTCACAGGTTAATAAATACATTTGGATTAATTATAGTTACAACAGTTATTGCTAGATTTTTCAAGCACGTAAATCTGAGTAGGTCAATTAATTTCTCTTTCAAATGATCACGAAGTTACCTACACAAAGTGTTTATTTTTTAAAGCCATTTACCTGAGTAGGTTAATTACTTTTTCTTTTAAGCTACCTCCACAAGATTCAGTTAAATAGCTAATCCCTAATTAGCTGGGGTTAATTCATTCTATCAGATAGGGGAGTAGGGTGTGTTTTCTTTGCTCCTTACCTTCTCCACTGTCTCACAACTGGGAGTCTCGCAACTGGGAGTTCTCGCAAATGGGAGTAGACCGCAATACGTAATATGATAATTCTGTGTATACGATATGGTAATACAAATGGGGGATATTTCTTACTATTGTACCCATTGTGCTACTCAGTGGGACAGAACCTGGAATACATCTGCAACACTGTCCTTTGTAGCCCTGCCAATAATCTGATGAATTTAATTTTTCAGAAAGCAGTTTCCATGATGCATCCAAGTTTGAAGGATATGGCATTGCAGAACTTAGTCATGCAAAAAGTAAGTTTTACAAGTGTCAGCTTGCCTGGGTAAATATGCTCTCCTTAAAAGTTTCTTTAAAGTAACTTTTCTGGAAAATAAGTGACTTTAATGTGTGAACTCTAGACATGTGTCTTTAGGAAGGAATGTTGACTTTGTGCATAAGATGGGTGAAAAATATAACCAGCCGATTTTAGGACTGTTCTGTTGGACAAACGGTGATGTGTAAGATACTCTGTTTTTAACATGCCTCTTGACACGAATGGATGAAGTCTTGTGATTCAAAGAAGGGCTATATGATAACATCCTTCTTGAGAGGCTGAGAGTCCGATTTCATGTCACAGGTACAGTTCTTACGTGGTTAAAGTCCTATTTTCATCTTCGTTCTCAGTGTAACAATCGTGAACTCTCCATCTAAACCATGTCCCTTGTCTTATGGCGTCCCCGAAGGATCAGTGTTGGTCCCACTGCTCTTCCCCATGTATATCATTCTCATTAGTGATATCTTCACAAGTTACAAAATACCTTTCCATGGCTATGCTGATGACACACAGAACCTTATTGCTGCCAGACCAAACCGCATTACGACTGAACTTGACAGACTACAAAAAATGCATTGATAAAGTTTGTAAAGGGATGAAAATTAACTTTCTTAAATTGAACGAGGAGAAAACTGAAGTTCTTCTTGTTGGATCCCATCAACAACTACAATAGATACCCGATTCTAAAATCACATGCAGAATTGGAGATACACCAGTAAGATAATGCAGACAAGTACGGAATCTGGACATTGTTTTTGACTCCAATATGACACTGAAGAATTAAGTAGCAGCAGTTTGCAAAACAGGTCATTTCCACCTCCATCAGATTGGAAAACTCTGCCTTTCTCAAGAATCAACTAAAATGCTAGCTCAATTGCTTATCATTTCAAGACTAGATTACTCTAATTGCCTGTTATATGGCATATCCTCAACACTCCTTCATAAATTTCAATTCCTCCAAAATACAGCTGCCAGGATCATTACGAGGACTCCTAAGCACCAACATATCTTCCCTGTTCTCAAACAACTCCATTGGCTACCAGTTTCAAGCAGAATCAAGTTCAAATTTCGATTCCACACTTACCATATGCCTCAAGACAAATTCTGCTCCTTCTTAACTCAAAGCCCTTGTTCAGCGTCACACACCAAGCCAGACATTGCGTTCCCAAGACAAGGACCTTCTCCAAAAGCCTGACTGTAAAACAGCCATGGGTGAACCTGTTTATGTTGCTGACGTTGTCTGGTCAATTGGCTGATAGCCGATGGATGACAACCAACATCTCTTGTAATGACCCTCACTGACATGCCAGCATCCCATATTTGAACATTTATCAGTTGAGGAAGACTTATGTTTGCTTATCAAGAACAAAATCTACTGAAACTTGATATTTTATGAATGAGGGATACACGTATTGCACTTGATGCTTTCCTTTGATTGTAGCATGTGCATGTTTAAATCAGTATCAACATAATTATGCAAACCAACATGTTTATGGCAGGAAAATAAATATCTATAACTTTGTGTTAAAAATCATGTGTTGTGATACTTATTTCCATGTGTATAGCAGAAATTCAAAGTACTTTATGGCAAAAGGCAAAACAAACCCCCAAAACCCAGCCTGAATTGGAAAACTTTATCAAAATGAATACTGGTACTGAAGTCTCTGCAATAACATCTGAAAAGAGGAAATTGTGGCTGAAAATGGTAAACTAAGAAAAGAGAACTTCTTTATTCCAATAGGAGTGGCATTTTGGTGTAGCTTAAAACACTGATTTTTACTTTGCCCCACTGGATGCTGTGGTCAGGGTTGTCATTGACGTGGCCTGATAAAGCCGAGTCAAGTTCTGATACAGAGGTCTGATGTTCCTTGACTAGGTGAGTGAGTGAGTGAGTGAGTTTAGTTTTATGCCGCACTCAGCAATATTCCAGCTATATGACGGCGGTCTGTAAATAATCAAGTCTGGACCAGACAATCCAGTGATCAACAGCATGAGCATCGATCTGCGCAATTGGGAACCGATGACATGTGTCAACCAAGCCAGTGAGCCTGACCACCCGATCCCGTTAGTTGCCTCTTACGACAAGCATGGGTTGCTGAAGGTACACTCTAACCCGGACCTTCATGGGTTCCTTGATTAGGGTTGTGAGGGGGTCTGAGCATTTCACTAACATAAGCGTGTCCACAGCTGCACACAAAATGGTATACTGTTCCCACTGGGTTGTGGTTGGTGGTTTCCCTGTGGCTTTAGTGGTGTTTTGAATGCTGTTGAAAACCATGTCTATATTGGTCTGTTTCTTTAAGAGTCTCATGATTTTATGGCTTTAAAACCATGTCTATAATGGTCTATTTATGAGTCTCTTGATCTTATGGCTTGAAAACCATGTCTATATTGGTCTATTTCTTTAAGACTCTCATGATTTTATGGCTTTAAAACCATGTCTATAATGGTCTATTTATGAGTCTCTTGATCTTATGGCTTGAAAACCATGTCTATATTGGTCTATTTCTTTAAGACTCTCATGATTTTAGGGCTTTAAAACCATGTCTATAATGGTCTATTTATGAGTCTCTTGATCTTATGGCTTAAAAACCATGTCTATAATGGTCTATTTAAGAGTCTCTTGACTTTATGGCTTGAAAACTATGTCTATATTTGTCTATTTCTTTAAGAGTCTCTTGATTTTATGACTTGAAAAAGGAACAACTGCATGTATTGTTAGTAATTGTTAGTAAACTTACCTCTGGATTATGGTAGCCCTATTCCTGTGGATTCACAGATACATACAGAAAATCAAATGAAATTTTAAACACTAAGTCATAGCTATTCCTAGTTGTATGCCTATCCTAACCCTGAGTTAACTCCCCTGATCCAGATGTCACCATATTGTTTATCTACAATCCTTCATAATTTTTCTTAAAAAACAACAACACACATATGACATCTTCTTAGGATAAATCGCGGGGAAGATATTGGGTGGGAACTACTCCATATAATCCAGAGGTAAGTTTGCTAACCATTACTTACAATACATGTAATTGTTCCTAATTATAACATTACTAAACATTCCCTCTGACTTATGGTAGCCTGAATCCCAAGTAAGGAAGGACGGTTACCCTTGGAAGATACTACCCTCTATACCACTAGATGATAGTTGATGACTCAACCTCCTAAGAATAACTATGACTTAGTCAGAGATAAATATAATTATCTCTAGATTGGTCAATAAGAATGAGGGTATGCATTCCCAGAGATGGTGAGTCTTCTAACTTCCTTCCATATATGGTTGACAGAATTGATAATATGATAATCCTAACTAATGAAGTTTACTTAGTTCCTGACGACTTAACCCAGACTACGATAGTACCCTTTATTTCTAGAATGATTCTATCTGATCTATCGTAATTACCATTAAACCCCAAATATCCTTAGATTCTATGACGTCACTTCTGGTGAACTATGACATCACTTCGGGTCTGATGACGTCACTTCCGGCCTAATGACATCACTTCCGGTTCCCTGAACCGATATCTAGGATATGACGTCACTCACCATGAATCTGGCAACTCTATTAGACAAAGTGTCCTCAGTTTCCACCCTGTTCCATGACGTCACTTCCCGGTTGAAGCCATCACTTAGGTTCAGAACTTAAGATTAACACCCTGAGCGAGTATATATATTCTAACTCGAAGCCGTCAACCATAGCCCGGAAGTTAGAACCTCTGTCCATAATGTTCTTGGTTAGGAGATACTCATGAGTATAAAGGTTCTTACCGTGACATCTCCGGCTTGATGCAGGATGTCTAACAGACCAGTATCCATCTCCCTCCAAGCAGTCCATTAACCAGTCCATGGCTCCATCTCTCACTGTGTCACCAATCTTGTAGCTGTACATGACAGATCAAAGTCTTGTCCTATCTGATCTAGAGGTAGAGGTAGGGAGCTGAGGTATACAATATATCCAATGCCCCAACAGACCACTAGCGGAAGTCTGATTCTTGGCAGTGAATTCCGGCACAATTCGAAATGTTATCTGTTTGTATCCCTCCGAAAAGGTAATGGATTTAAAGTCTATCGCATGTAATTCAGAAACTCTAGAAGCCGTCGCAAATGCCAAGAGAAATGCCGTCTTAAATGCCAGATACTTTAGAGAAGCATCCTGCATAGGTTCATAAGGAGATTTCTGGAGGGATTGAAGCACCAAGGTTACAGAGGTACAGATAAGCTGCGTATCTGCGTAAATTACGCAAATATGTATGTGTAAACTCAATTCCTATTAAGTCTGTTGCGTACAGGTACGCTTGAAGTTTTGTAAATACTCAATAAATTTGATATTACATGCGTACAAACAAAAATACATAAAATAACTGAGGTATATTGAGAGGTTCAGATTATCTATTTCAGCACCTGAACTTGGCAACTTGGAGTCTTTCTTATAGTTTAGTTTTCCATATCACAGATCAAATATATGCAACAAACACATAACCAACATTTAAACTTTATTATTATCCCCCGCCACGCGTTTAGCGTGAAGCTGGGGATATAGTATTAGGCTCCGTCCATACGTACGAATTGGAATATCTTAAGAACCTTTGACTGGATTCTTTTCATATTTGGTACCTAGGTTCATCACAGTAAAAGGAAGGTGCCAGTCAGGTTTGGTGACCTTGATCTTCATTTCAAGGTCACAAGGGGACTTTAACGTTTTACCTGCAGCTATCTCAAGAACCATTCACTGGATTTTCTTCATATTCAGTACCAAGCTTTATCTAGGGAAGGTGCAGGGCCCAGTCGATTTTGGTGACCTTCACATAATTTTCAAGGTCATGGCAACACTTTGAAAATTTCAGCATGTTAACCCGCATGTTAAGCTATCTCAAGAACTGTTTCCTGGATTTTCTTCATATTTAACCTCAAGCTTTATCTAAGGAAGGCGCAGGGCTCAGTTGATTTTGGTGACCTTCACATAATTTTCAAGGT